CATAATAACTGATAAATAAGGGCTCAGTATTAGGAACTGTTGACTCAGTGACTGGGCTAATGTGGTGGATCTGTCAGAGATAATGATGTTGACATAAGATAAAGCAAGGTTCAGAGCTGTTGTACGTGGGCGGGGTCGCTATGAGTCACTAATGACTCAATGGCACTTAACAACAGCAACATTAGAAACTATAGTGATGCCCATGTGCCCTCCCCCAATTCACTCTTCAGATACTCTCAAAGGAAATGCCATCTAGTGGGCAACTACTCAGGAAGTGCTGTTGGTGTAGTGTGTAGGGAGTTGTAGTGCTAACCCGAAGGCTGTGTCTGCCTAGTGGTTTGAATCCACCAGCAACACGGTGGCAAGAAGATGAACAGTCTCCTCCCATGCAATTTGCATTCTTCAGAAACTCACTAGAGGGTCAGTGATGAGTTGATTCCAACTTGGAAGGTAATGACTTAACTAAATTCTCAGCTCTCTGACACACCTTATTCCAGTTGTCTTTCCCTGACTGGAAAGAAGGCATTCAGGCAGAGTCACACAGCCCTTCAGTGGCAGAGCAGACACAAGCCCAGGCTTCTGCATTCAGCTTTTCTGCGTTTCCTAGACCACCTACTTCTCCCTTGTGTACTGCTTTCCAATCCAAGCACTTAGTGATGTTTTCTCTTGGAAAATACTGTGCTTTGTATGTTTTGGGGGATATGTATCTCTCTTTCTCAAGAAACTACTTTTTTTATCAAAGAAATTACACTATCGGCATTTTGTCTGGTGCTTAGAATTGCTTAAAGTAATACTCCAAAAAAAACCCCAAACCTCTGTAAGTTTATTTCTAAAATAGTGTGTTAATTTTTTTTTAAATATGGGACACTTCACAAATTTGCATGTCATCCTTGTGCAGGGACTATGCTAATCTCTGTATTATTCCAGTTTTAGTATATATGCTGCCAGTGCAAGCACAATATTGTGTCAAACTTTTGAAAAATATTTGAAACATATTCTATTTATTTGTCTCTTACTATATTCTAATAAGTTTTTATAGCATGTTATGTGTATTCACACAGTTAAGCATCTCTTATTAATAATACTAATTAAAAGACTAATTATCTTCAGTATCATTACTGTCACATACAAGTAAAATGTTACTGATGATTCCTAACTAGCCAGAATATTATTTCAACAGAGAACTGCCAGAAATTCAGGCTATGGAATGAGGGATATTACTGCTGATGTCAAATGGATCTTGGCTAAAAGCGGAGAATACCAGAAAGATATTTATTTGTATTTTACCAACTGTTTAAAAGCATTTGTGTAGATTGAAATAAGTTATGGGTATCATTAAGAAGAATGAGAATCTCAGGGAGCTCTGGTGGCCTAGCGTGTACTGCAATCCCGAAGGTGAGTGGTTTGAATCCACCCGATTCTCCGCTGGAGAAGGAGGGGAAATCTCCTCCTGTGCCAGTCAGATCTAATTCGACGGTACACAGCAAGGGGGTGGGGGTGGGAATGGACAAGAAGAATGAGAATCTCAGAGCTTTAATTGTGCTCATGTGAAAAATTTACCTAGACCAAGAAGCATATGTCAGAACAGAGTAAGGAAACATTGCATCATTTACAAGCAGGAAAACAGTGCATTAGGTATCCTTTCTCCATACCTATTCAGTTTGTATGCTGAGCAAATAGTGGACTATATGAAAAAAGAATATGGCCTCAAAATTGGAGGAAAACTCATCAACAAGATCCATTATGCAGATAACACAACCTTGTTTACATAAAATGAAGATTTGAAGTACTTACTGCAGAAGATCGAAGACTACAGTCTTCAATATGGATTATACCTCAACATCAAGAAAACAAAAATCCTCACTACTGGACCAATAGGCAACATCATGATAGATGGAGAAATGGTTTAAATTATTAATGATTTCATTTTACTTGGAACCATAAGCAGTACCTATGGTTACAAGAAATTGAAATATATGTTGCACTGAGAAAATAAGCTGTCAAGGACCTTTCCAAAGTGTTGAGAAACATGATGGCAGTTTGAAAATCAAGGTTAGTGGCGAGATCTGGTGGCCTAGTGGCAAGAAGCTACACTGCAATCTCAGAGGTGTGCAGTTTGAATCCACCAGATTCTCTGCTGGAGAAGGTGGACCACTCTCCTCCTGTACCAGTCAGATCTGATTTGACGGTACACACACACAAAAATAATGAAATAAAATAAAAAAAAATTTAAAAAAACAAAGAAAATCAGGGTTAGTCTGATTCAAGCCATAGTCATTTCAATTATTTTCTATGCATCTGAAAGTTGAACAGTGAATAAGGATGGCAGAAGAAGAATTGATGCCTTTGAATTGTGGTGTTACCAAAAAGTCTTAAATATCCCATTGGACTTTAAAATGGACAAACAAATCTGTCTTGGAGAATGTGCAATCAGGGTGCTTCTTTTAGGCAAGAATGGTGACACTTCATCTCACAAACTTTGGACATGTTATAACAAAGGCCAGTCCTTGGGGAAAAAAACCATCATGCTGAGAAAGGTGGAGGATCAGCGAAAGAGAGGAAGACCATGGAGGTGAACTGACATAGTAACTGCAATGATGAGTTTGAGTATGGCAGAGATTGTGAGAATATTGCAGGATAGGGCAAGATTCTGATCTGTTTGTTGTTCATACTGTCACTGAGAAATGTAGTTGACTAGATGGCATTGAACAACAATAATGAAAAGATTAAGAAAACTAAGACACAGAAAGGACAAGTAATTTGACCAAGAACACACAGCAGGCAAGTACTAGATTGGCATTCAATGTCAGACAGTATTACTATGTTTAACTTTACAGAAGAACGTAATTTAGAGACGCTTTTGGATAATAATTTAGAGTATCATCGGGGTTAATATCAGTGCCTTTTAAAAATTTAATTAAAATTCTCAAGATGGGAAGCCAGTACTTTCCTACAATTCATGTTTCCATTTTTTCCCAGGGTAAGTGTTATTCTAGGTCAATGGCTCTCAAATTTGAGTGGGCATCAGAATCAACATGACAGTTTGTTAAAACACAAAGTCACCAAGAGTTTCTGGGTTGGGAACTTAAGAGACCTGAAAATTTGTGCCTCTTTTCCATCCGTGTATTGCTCTTGATGCTGGCTTAAGTCAAGAAACAGTGCTCTAGACCAAGAGTCAGCAAATTTGGTCTGTAAAAGATCAAACTTAATTGCCATTAAGTGAAGACTGACTCATAGCTGACTCTCCAGTGAGTTTTCACTGAAAATGAAAAGAGGCTGTAAATGGCATGGGAGAAAATTGTTCATCTTTCTCCTACAGAGCAGCCAGTGACTTTGAACCACCAACCCTTGGGATGGCAGCGCAGCTCCACCCACTAGTATATTAGAAATGTTATAACTTTAGCAAATCAGAGGCTCTATGTCCCAAGTACTTGACTCTGGCATTGTGGCTCCAAAGCAGCCATAAACAATTGCAAGTTACAACGTGTGTTTCAAATTAACCTGTATTTATGAGCTCTGAAATTTGAATTTCATATAATGTCACATGCTAAAATAATATTTTTTCCAATGATTTACAAATGTTTGTATCTTTTCAGCTTGTGAGCTGAAGGATAACAGGCAACTGGCCAGATATGGGCCTGAGGCTAGAGTTTGCTGATCCTGTCTCTAGACTATCCACCTTCAAACTTGTCTGACATGCAGAATTTCTTTTAAACTATTGTTTTAATTATAAAAGTCATGCAAGCGAATTTCTAAAAAGAGATCCCAGGCTCCAGAAGCAATCATTATTAATGAATTTTTCTTTTTTTCAGAAATTTTAGTCATATATATATTGTTGTTACATGCTGTCTAGTCAGATATGACCCATAGCTGACTCTCCAGTGGGTGTTTATTTGGTGGCAAATTGGCCCCATCTTTTTAACATGGAGCAACTGGTGGATTTGAACTGTGTGCCTTTGGGTTGGCAGCAAGCTCTTTACCACTAAGCGTAGAAATATATGCAAATATGGATATTTTTACATCAGTAGGCTTATTTATACTAATTGTTCAATCCCATTTTTTTCTCATAACAATATATTGTGACCTGTTCCCACATCAATATGTAGAGATGACATAGCCTATTCTTTTTAAAGACTATAGTTTCCTGTATCTGGCTATGCCATAAGGGTTAAATAACCAGTTCCTTATCAATAGACATTTGAGTCATTTCTTATTTTTTTTCTACTATAAACAATACTGCAATGAAAGTACATCTTTACACATTCATCATTGCACACACATCTGTGATAACACCCACAGGATCAAGTCTAGAAGATGAATTGCAGAGTCAAAGGGTATGTGCATTTAAAATTTAGATAGACAGTTGTAAATTCCTGTTATGGGAACTTTTGGGTCCTGTGTTCATTTTCTTTTGGGGTCACACTGTACATTTTTGCCATTTGGTCTTTATCTGACTTGAGCATTCATCACAATAAATTTCAGTATTACGCTCCACTGCACATGAACTTAACACGGAGTAGTAATCCTATGGAGGGCAAAAAGTGCAGCTGGCAATTTCTTCATGTTTCTTGAAAATAAAATGGCTTTTAAAAGTATAAAACCATCAAAACAGTGTCCTGAATCTAGGGTCAGCCTGGACATTGCCACATAAGGTGCCACAAAAGAAATTGTTCTTGTTTTTTCCACAAAGACCTGAAGCTTAGCAGATGTTTCTATATGTTTGTTTCCCACTGGAGTAGGATTTTCTATTGTCAAACATCTATGTAAACATAGTGTTAGCTAATAAATAATAAATAGTAGTTGTGCTGCTATTGTACTAGAACTCAGAATACCACTGCTTTCCTTTCTATTCAAAGCTCTTCCTTTTTGAGCCAATAAAGGATTGGAATAATGACTTAATAGATACCAGCACAGCATCTTGAAGGGCAGCACTATGTTAGGGTTTTGGCTTGTGATTTTCAAAATATTTTTACTTAAAATATGTCCCTTTCTGCTTATAGGATGTCATAGAATTTTCTCTTCACCACTCAATCACATCTACTCATACAAGCAGTCAGGCAGTCCACAAAGAAGAAATTTCTTCTTCCGGAGACAAAGAGATATTTCACACAGTATAGTTCTGCCGGCTGCAGTTGCTCCAGCTCATCCAGTCCCTAAGGTACTGTACTGCCTCTTTCTGCTCCTCTCCAGCCAGCATAAAGGTTGACTGCAAAGCCCCAAATACGTTTGATTTGCAGGACATTCAAGTGGTAATATTTAAACTTAGTTTATGATTTAAAACACAAACACCTGATGTGAGACATTTTAACACCCTGCTACTCTGTAACCTTAAATCTTAAAAAAAAAAAAAATAGAAGATAACACTGAAGTAAAACTACCTACCTCATTTAGAATTAAAATTTCTAGGGTGACTGGATCCTTTTCATTTCCTTCACCTGCTCCCCCCACCAACCAAATTGTGCATCCCTGCAACTGCATCCCTGCAATTTTCATCCTTGCCCATCCTCACCCTTCTGCTTCCAACCCTCACCTCCTTGTACCCCCAGCATGTTTTTCCCAATAAAATATAAAATAATAATAATAATAATAAATCTAAAAAAATAAAAAAAAATTTCTAGGGTGACATTTCCTATATGAAATTTCTAACATGAAGGAAAAGATACACATTTGTGCAATTTCCTAACTTTTTAGAGGAAAAAATTTAGCTGTGAAATTAAAATATTTCAAGAAAGATTGCTTGAAATCAGTATACTAGATACTTTTTCTTTTTTTTTCTAAACCTGCTCTTACAGTGACCATGTTATTGATGGTGCCATCTTTGAATTGTTCTTTAGGGCAAATTAAATAAAATGTCTCAGAACATTCTTGATTTTTTTTTTCTAGAACTTACAATTCTGTAGAAAGGCAATATATCCATTTTCAAAATGCAGCACACAAGAGGTGTGTGAATTGTTTGGGAAGAACAAGAATAGCTAAAAGAAATACAGATTTATCACCATGATTACCTATTTTTCTTTTTAGAAGATTTTGGGTTTCTTGTTTTGTTGTTTTTAGGTTTTTTTTCCCCTGCAATGAGCTTGCATTAAGTATGTTATATGGTCCCCTGATTAGAATGTCTCACCTAGGTCCAACACTTAGAAGAAGCCAATAAAGCCCATTAGATTAAAAACACAAACTGTACACAGTGGTTCATAATAACAAATGAGCACCACATCTTGCATCAAAACATTACTGTATTATTATGTTGAAGACATTTTTGTTTATCTTAAAGTGTTTCTTTTTTTTATTATATAGGAAGGTATGCTGTAATACTAAGGCAAACATTTGACTAACTGGTGTTAAGATTCAAACCTAAAAATCTCAATTTGCATACAATTTTACTTTAAGACAAACTAAGGAATGGAATTCAGGAACTGAACTGGTTCATAACCTTGGGGTTGCCTGCATCCCCTGAAGGTGAATGGAGCATTTTTGTGGCAAAAGCTGACAAGCAGAGCCCAGAGCACATTCTTGCTCCGCTGAGATCCAGCCATCAGAGCGAAAGCCAGCAGCACTTGGTATTACTCACAAAATTGACATTTATTTTCTTAGTTGAAAAGGAAAAAGAATCTCCAGAGAGGTGACCAAGTATCATTTTAGAATTTCAGTGAGGACCCAACAGTCCTCCTGTCTGGAGCTATAACCTCACGAGATGGCAGAGCAGAGATAAGTGAGCTGAGGTGAAGCTGACACACAGTTAGGGCTCATACAGAGCTGTGTGCTGTGGGAAGTGAGGCTGTGGCTCTACCTGTGTCAGGCCCTTCTCGACATGTGAATAAGCACAGGCTCTCCTGTCTTGCCTCATGTACTTCACAAAGAGGAGCGCCCTGAGCTCAGCCCTTCCCAAGTTCCTGTGATGTCTCAGTTGAATAATGCTATCTCCCTTACCTTCTTGTTCCAAACCCCTCTGTAGCTTCACAGTGTCAGTGTCGCTCTTTCCATGGTTTGTAAAGAGCTATGCAAAACCTTGGAACTGAAAGGAGCTCTGTATATGAAATATTATTTAATTTCTGAGTTCTGCCCATGGATTTAAATAAGTCATGTAGAATATTTTACAAGGGTTATCAGAGTAGGAAGTTGTAGGGGTTTTGGATTTTGGTGAATGATGGAACTGTTCTAGGTAAGTTTGTGTAAATGAGGGGAAAG